ACCTATCTAATACCAAAAATGTATGAAAAATATATTTTTAATAATATTAAAACAATTAACAATATTATAATGAATGCATTATTTTTGTCAAAAATAAATTAATTTAATGCTAATGCTGTATAATAACGCGATTATGACGGATAGGATATAATTTTCTGTGATTATACTATTACCAGATAAAGTGTGGCGGGTAGTTGAAAATTTAAAAAAATTATTTGTCATTTGAGTCCGCCGAGTATTGACGTCAACGAGGGTATCCATGAAATAATCGAATAAATTTATACCTACTCATTTTGGTGCAAATTACAATCACTATTTTTTACTACCTCGACGGCGCATATTACATACCCTTATTTTGGCTAGAATTACAGAAAATATTTTTGGTTACCTGCAGTGGTGGTGTTAATTACAAGTCTTTATTTCGTTGCAAATTAAAGGTCCCCGTCAGCAAATGGCCTTTCGTTGTTTGATTGTTACAATAATATAATGTCGTGCGCAAACGGGTCGCAACAAAATTCCTAAAAATATTATTAAGCGCTTAAATGGTTTCCACTAGGTAGGCATTATGAATCCTTTAACATTTTATACTTTGGCAGGTGTGTATAGTCAACGCTTACTAAACTTTATTTCTTTGTGGTTTTGCGAACAATTCACATAATATAACGAGTGATGTTTTATAGTTTATTATGTTGTATATTAGAATTATAGTGCAAACATATAATTTGTATAATATTGTGTTGTTCGATATTATAATATCGACTGCACATTTATCCCCGAGAAATACAGAATATGTCAGATGGATGATTTGTTAGCTTGAAAATATAACAATCTGAACGAGCAATAAACTGTTAAATCCAACTGCTACATAAATACACAATCTAGGCAGACTTGGATAAAATATTTTTTTAAAGTATTTCGAATACATATTCCGAATACTTAAGAAAAAGTACTCAGAATATATATTCGAATACTTTATGATAATAATATTCCCAAGCATTTGGAATACTTCAAAAGAAGTATACAAGTCAAATATTTTTCGAATACTTTTTTTTTGTAGATTAAATAAATTGTATTTGATTTAAATAACAAAAATATTTTTATTTTTTTCAATTTAGTGATTATAAAATGAACATTATAATAATCTTGATAATACGTACCTGTATGGCTTTCTATTAGTTATAACTTAATCATAATCAAATTCAGTGGCGCAACTTGGATTTATTTTTGGAAGGGGGGGCTATACATTTATATATAATAGGTATAAAACAGGCACCCATCATTAGTTTATTATTTATTTTAGTGAAAACCTGGAGTCATGTACTCATGTACAATAATATCTTATCGTCATCGCTAACTCGTTGCTGCAAAATCGGAAAATAGCATTAATGTCCCACTAAAAATAGTAAAAAACAAAATAATAAATTAGGTACTATGAAATATTTTGTATAGAAATATACATATAAATATATACAATTACAAAAGCAATTTCTATAATAGAAAAAATAATGAAATGATTTTTAAAATGTGATTGGACGTTCAAAAAGTATTCCGAATACTGCATTTAAAACACTCGTAAGAAGTATTCAAAATACCTTATTGTCCAGTTATTGAATAGATACTTAAAAAGTATTCCGAATACTACCCAAGTCTGACTCTAGGTAAAGGTACATCTTGCACGGTGATCATTTTAACAGACAGTAGTATTAACAATTATCATGAAAAGTATGAACGTTCTTGGAATGGTTAAAAGATTCTGGGCTGATCAACGATTGATTTTATAATAAATTAAATAAGAGTGTGCTTTTTTTTTTTGCATACTTTGTATACATGATTTATTGTAAAACATAAAAATGTATTTTCAACTTTGATATCTTTTTTGGTAGGAAAGTGAATGCATTTGGTCAAGATTAAAAACTCACTGTAATTTTTAGAATAATAAAGATAATAACAATAAAAAAAAAAAAATACGGAAACCAGTATTCCATAAAATCGATTTTGTTTTTTTTCGTGTAGGTCACTCAAAAACCTGTAGCCTTAATAACTTAGATACTTGAAATTTTAACCAAATATTTATGTTAGCGTTTTCAATACACCGTATAGTTTCAAATTGTTTTGATTTTTTCTAACTTTTCTAAACATTTTCGCTGATTTTTTTTAATAATTAATATCAATTAATACGTTTTTTCATTAGTTCATAACTTTAATAATTAAATACAAAGTTTTTCATAAGTTTTTGACAGAGAAATTTAAAAAAAAAAATGTAGTTTAAATACTTACAACTTTATATGAACGCCTGAGTTCAAAATGTCTAAAATTTGAAAATCCTTTTAGATTTTGAGTGGAGCGAGAAATGTATTGATTTTACCATGATGTGTTTTTTAAATTTTTTGTGTCTGTTATCACGTTTTGGGGCAGTACAAATGCTTCGATTTTCAACATCAGTACCTTGTTAGATCAAAAAATTAATCTASTTGGTACTTGGGAGGGGGGTAAAAAATAATCGGGATAAACAAACTAAAAATTAAGGAATAAACGGGAATTTTTATGCACAATCAGTTTTCGAGAAAATCAATTTTGGAAGATACATACAATTTTCACCGAATATTTATATAAGTATATTGTGGATAATATCCACCATGCAATTTTCTAAAAATTTCGACTCAAGTTGAACAATTTATAGGCATATGAAATTTTCGATCATTATTATTTTTTTTAAATTAAAATTAATAAAAATTTATTTGTTAGGTAGGAAAGCTTGAAATTTTAATACAAGGCTTCTTACATATTGTTACAATA